GCTCCACCGATCAGGGATCCGAGCGCTCCCAACATTGGTAGAATCGGCAATATGCCGCCGCATTTCGCTACCGGAAGTATCCGTTTCTTCACCGTTCTTTTCTTCGTCTTCGTTGTCTTCAGACCCATACCGAGCTTCGTCTTAGCTTTCATTGCTGTCCAGACAGCTGTAGCGGCGGCTCTCTCACCGAGAGTCGAATCTCTCGCAACGATGCGATTCCGCGCTTTCTCGGCGAGTATCCTATCCGCAGCGTGTCTCTCGGTGAGATCGTTGCTTCGAGAGTATGCTATATCGTGTTCGCGACACGCAGCGTCCAATGGATTTATACCTCGATCACCTCTGGCTAATCGCTTCTCCAACCGTGTACCTGGCCCGCAAAACTGATAGCCGGGAATATGTAATTCGATCGGAAGTGCGTTTATCGCGTGATTTAATAGGCCTCTACCTATTTTCGTTGACATTCGCTGCAATTCTTTATCAATGGCGCCGGACCGTCGATGTGCGTTTCCTGCCACGGCTGATTGTAGTGTTTGTAACAGCGACGATACGTCTGAACCTCCGGATCCGCCTTTATATATTCTGGAAGCTTGTCCCACACGTAGTGAACGTGATCACCGCACATTCGCAACAGAACTGCTTTCGACACAAATTGTAGCTGTTCGACGCTCAAATCGCAAATGTCGGAAGGACTTGATAGCAGAATGAACATTTTTTCTCTACTGAGCGACTCGTGATTTCGCGCACCTATAAATAGGCAGGCGTTCGATCCAATCAACAGTGTTGAAAAAATGAGATTCGTACAACAACCTTTGACGATTTACGTGAGAAATTGCGATAGTAGATTACGATTAATGGGGGACAACGCGGAGATGCGCAGGCACAGTACGATGCTACCGACTACTATACGCGCGATCATATGCGGACCCTCGAATTGTGGTAAAACCAACGTTCTGATAAGTCTACTGGAAAGTCCGCACGGTGTACGTTTCGAGAATGTGTACGTGTATTCGAAGTCGTTGCAACAGCCAAAATATCAATATCTGGAGAATTTGTTGACGCCGATCGACGAAATCGGCTACTTTACGTTCTCGAATAACAGTGACGTCATTCCACCGAGCGAGGCACATCCAAACTCGATTTTCGTCTTCGATGACGTGGCGTGCGACAAGCAAGATACGATAAGAGAGTACTTCTCAATGGGTCGTCACTCGAACGTCGACTGCTTCTATCTTTGTCAGACGTACGCGAGAATACCAAAACATCTTATACGCGACAACGCGAACCTGCTGATCTTGTTTAAACAGGATGGTACCAACTTGAAACACGTGTACAACGATCATGTGAATACCGACATGTCGTACGAGTATTTCAATGAATTATGTCGTACTTGTTGGCAACAAAAGTATGGATTCCTAGTGATAGATAAGGACAGCTCGCTTACGAACGGGCGATACAGAAAAGGATTTAACGTGTTCGCGATACCGCAAAACGATTAGTCGCTGCCAACATTTTGTTTGAGAAGGGTCAAACGCTTGACATTCCGTCAATATGGCTGAAAGCGATAATATTCGTGAGCGTGAAAAGATTGCGAAGGAGATTGAGAAAACGAGCGAATCGATCCGCAAGAAACATCGCGCTTTAAAGACCGGTAAGATCGATGACGATATCGCGGTCAAGACTCATTTTAGACCTATTATCGAGCCACTACAAAAAATCGCCGACAACTCTAGCTTTAACACGGTGAAAAACGAGCAGGAGAGTAACGCTGACGCTATAATCAAAACATTACCCATCAAGCGGTACAGGGAGAAGGAGGAGGAGGAGGAGGATGCGACACCGAAAAAGAGGAAACGATTGAAGGCTAAACGTTTATTGACGCCGCGTACATTGGATGAACCGCTGCTAACCTCTACACCGCTGATAACTTCCACACCGTCCGGGACAACGAGAACCGTACAATCCAGGATACCCAAATTACTTGATGAGATCGAAGAAGTTCTCGAAAAATCTCAAAAAAACCTGTTTCAAGAGGAAGTTTTCGAAACCTCGGGCAACCCGCTCGAAACATCCGTTCGAAACAGATTACAAACGTCGGAAGGTCAAGAAGTGTTACGAGAACACTTGGGATCACTGGGGCAAAAATACATAGGTGCTCTTCTTAGCGGTGACGAAAGAAAAAACACGATCGATCACGTGTACGGCGTCTATTTCGACGAGAATGGAATGCGTCTCGGCAACAAACGATTCGACATTGACAAAGATGACTCTATAATCATAGATAAAGTGAGGTATATTGGTACACCAGGATTATACGAGTTGATCTTCAAGAGAATTCCCGACGACGTCATATACACTGAGGACGATATGCAAAAATATAAGAGCATTTTGATGGCGACGAGTGCGCATAAACGTCAATATGATGCGCAAGGTCAATTAAAGAGCAACAAGGGATACAAGTATAAACAAATAATCGCACCGTTGATGTCGATCGAATCGAAAAAGAAAAAAACGGGAACGGGAGTATTCACGCCTCGCGCGATGACGCTAACCAATAATAAGATCGATTACGTGCACTGGGACGATCCCAACGAGCTAGTGGATCGCCTACGATTGCTCGACGCTTCGCGCCGAGCTGGTCACAACGCTCACGACAACGAGATCCTGTCGATCATAGAGGAACTTCGCGAAGCTGGCCTTATTATAAATTAAACGGTGTCTCGACAAAACTAATCAGTCGATCGACGTTACTCACATCGAAAAAAAATGCCTATCAACAAATTTGGATTATTTGAACGGAGAAATGAAGAAATCTGCACAAGCGATCATTGGAGTAAATTGGTGACAAGTTACTTGCGTCGAAACGCTCTGTGTCGCGTCGCTACGGACTATGACGCGAGGTCGCGCAAGATTCGTCGTGTAGCGCAACCTGAGGCTGATACCGATGCAGTCAACAAACTGTATGTGGAACAATATGTTAAAACGTTGAAGAATCAACAGAAAGAATCAGATGAGAAGCTGATTGCGTTCGAGAAGGATATGCGAGCTTTACAGATTGCGATAAACGAACTTCGACGTGCGATTAACACTAATTCAGAAACGGCTATCAACCTATAATGAGCTGTAGCAAACAGTTTAGGAGCAGCTATTGTACAATTATTAAACATCTACAAAGGCTTATCGAGCGGCTACGAAGGATTATCGAACTACAATGAGTGACAGCGATCGAAGAGGAAACGACCTCGAACGGGTCAGCAACGGCTATTGAACGGCTATTGAACGGCTATCAAACGACAGTGAACGGCTACGAACGGGTCAGCAACGGCTATTGAACGGCTATCAAACGACAGTGAACGGCTACGAACGGGTCAGCAACGGCTATTGAACGGCTATTGAACGGCTGTCGAACGGCAGTGAACGGCTAAAGAGTGATAACGAATAATAAAACGCATGGTGATACGTATCGTTTATTTGATCGACGAATCAAAACAACGATGAATCGACGATTGGGAATAATCGAGAAAGCGAAGAAACAACATAGTTTAGAGAAACGGCAGTTGGTGAATGAACTGCACGCACCGGCGAGAAAAAATTTCCCCCGAAGACACGTCATAGTGCGGGGATACGATGACCTGTGGCAAGCCGACATCGTCGAGATGCGTCCGTACTCTCGTTTCAACAGAGGTTACAACTACATACTCACTGTCATCGATGCGTTGAGCAAGTACGCGTGGGCCGTACCACTCAAGAGTAAAGGTGGAAGCGAGACAGCTGACGCTATCGCCGAGATAATTCGAGATAGCAAGAGGTGTCCGAAAAATATACAGACCGATATGGGAAAGGAATTTTATAACGTCGACGTGCAACGGCTCATGCGAAAACACGACATCAATCATTATTCTACATATTCGACATTAAAGGCATCGATTGTTGAGCGATTCAATCGCACGCTGAAAAACGACATGTGGAAGATGTTTACGCTAAACGGATCTTACAAGTGGATCAACGTGTTGTCGGAACTTGTATCGAATTACAACGCGCGCAAGCATCGAACGATCGGTATGCGGCCCGTCGACGTTACCCCCGCGATCGCTGAAAGACTCTTGGCTACTGTGTACAACCATGTAAATATCGCGGGTCCGGCGAAATTCAAAGTAGGTGACTCGGTACGCGTTAGCAAATACAAGACAGTTTTCGAGAAAGGTTACACGCCAAATTGGACAACCGAGGTGTTAAAATTATAAAAGTGCAGCATACTAATCCCGTAAGCTATCTACTTGAGGATTATCGCAAAAAATCTATCGCTGGAGCGTTCTACGAACACGAGTTGCATCGCGCGAATTATCCGGACGTGTATCTCGTGGAGAAAGTACTGCGCAGGAGGGGTGATGAGGTTTACGTGAAATGGCTGGGATTTGACAATTCACACAATTCTTGGATACATAAAGACAATGTGATTTAATTAATCATACAGTGTTTATTTTTTAAATTTTCTGGAAAAAATATATATGTATAACATTATAATATTTGAAAAAAATAAAAATATACATAAAAATATACATAAAAAATCCTTATCAATATTCCTTTCTATAGTACATGTATTTTTAATAAGTTATAATAAGATGTATGAGATACACATAAAAATATATGAAATATAAAAAATACAAAAAATCCTTATTAATATTCCTTTCGATAGTACATGTATTTTTTTTTTAATAAGATAATAAGATGTATGAAATATACATTACATTACATAAAAATATATGCAATATAAAAATTTTTATTAATAATTCTTTTAATAGATAACTTATCGCACACATTTTACATTTTATATATTTTACATTTTATATATTTTACATTTTATATTACGAGGGTAGTTCGAAAAGTTCTCGGCCTGGCAAAGAAAACACATGATTTCCAGCAAAAATCTTTTTTATTTTTCAACATAGTCCCCTTTCAACTCAATACATTTAGACCAACGATGTTCTAATTTTTTTATACCCTCAGTATAATACGATTTGCTTAAGCCTCCAAAATAAGCATCCGTTTGCCTTCTTTGGAGCACTTCCACCCGCTTCCACCCATTGTTTTGATTGTTGTTTCGTCTCTGGCGTGTAATGGTGAATCCATGTTTCATCGACAGTGATAAATCGTCGCAGAAATTCGGTTGAATTGCGTTTAAACAAGTCCAAGCACTCTTGAGAAATGTTCGTTCGAATGCGTTTCTGATCGACCGTTAACAAACGCGGCACCCATCGCGCTGAGAGCTTTCTCATATGCAAATGTTCATGTAAGATATTGTGAACACGATCTATTGAGATGTTTGCAATGTTAGAAAGCTCACGCACTTTTACTCGTCGATCATTTAACACGCTATCGTGGATTTTTTGAATGATTTCCTCATTCGTGGCGGTTTTCGGGCGACCCGAACGTTCATCGTCAAAGATGGATGAACGGCCACGTTTAAATTCAGCAGCCCATTTCTTCACTGTTGAAAATGACGGAGAAGAGTCTCCCAAAGTGGAATCCAGCTCGTTTTTTATTTCTGTTGCCGTTAATCCTTTTAAAACGAAATATTTTATGACTGCGCGATATTCAATTTTATCCATTTTTGGAGAAGTATCAAATCTTGTCTGTTTTACTCGAGCACAGTAAACAAACTAGCGAACGAATCTGTCTGAAACTGTGCGGTACGCCCTCTGAGGGATTAAACTTGAGAAAAATCATAGCCATTTGATATTCTTAGCGACATTTCTATATTAGGCCGAGAACTTTTCGAACTACCCTCGTACAATGGTATCCTATAATGTCCCCACGGTAATGTATCTGTGGTTTCGGGTACGATATACCGCTTATCGTCGTACGGACTCAAAGCAATTTTCGTCTCGCGGATCGTGTATACTTGGTGCAGTTTAGATCGTATACACGACTGCTGGCGCGTCATTTCAATTTCTTCTTTCAAACACCGCGTGTAATCGTCAAACGTTATCGTTCTCGCGACAATGTTGGTCTTGACGCCTTTAACTTTTTTTGTATCCTTTTTCCCATCGACTCGTAATGCGTACATCTTTGCTCTGAGTCCGACGAATTCGGTCATTATGGCACCGTTATTTTCGTCCTTCATCAGGCCCGGTACTTTTTTATTTTCAAGCGGTATACCGTACGCATTGTCCACCGCATAATCGCTCGTGTCAAATCTGGCGATATCGCGCTTCATGTTCTCATACACATCAACGCATTTAATGTGATATATCAAACTATCTGTGTCGGTATACATAATCTTACATTTATCGCGATACTGAGGAGACATGTACTTGTGATGAAATTCATACAAACATATCTTGGATATGTCGAGTATGCACATACCCACATAAATCGGTTTGTAGAATTTCACCTCGAGTTTGCGCAATTCTACCGCAATCAGATTTTCCGAAAAAACGCTTCTGCTATGGAAATTCGGTTTCGCGATCATCGCTTCCGCGCCGTATCGACCGTCCCATTTTGTTAATAATTTTACATCGACACGATTCCGCACATTTTCCATCGTTTTGCCAAACACAGCATTATTCATTAATTTATATAAATTTTTCTCGAAATCGTTTTTCGCGAGTGTTCTAAAATGTGTATTTAATTCGATATAACTGCGAAGCCATGGAGATTGCGTAAATTGTAATACGCGATGTATTTTTGTTACACGAAGGCCGTGACGCGTACACTGCTGTAGGTTACGGTAGTGTATCACGTAACGCTTCTTATCGTATAACGTTGCAAGCAGTTTGAATTCCCGCTTACCGGGCGGCTTGTCGCGCGTCGGACAAAACGGTAGGTCAATGTGCGTATCGTGAAGATGTCGCGGGTATTCGAGATCGACTTCGAGGATATAGCCTGTAGGGGAATCTAGCGCAATAGATGACGCGTCAAAATTCGACACGTCGTCGACCCATCGAAAATCGGCATAGGGCAACGGTTGACACATTGCCCATCCGTATAAATTATTAACGTCAAAATACATCAAGTATGACGATGGTTTCGTTGGATCGTACGATTCTTTCATGTACTTGTTATTAGCGCGCGCGTATCTGTTGGAACATTAGCTCAGACCACCGCGTATACCGCGTTCGATGAACATAACCATGTCGATGTCTGTAAGCAGTTCGAACGTGATTTTCGTATGCTTCAACATGGCGTCCCATGTGTATCCGGGGAGAGTATAGTAATAAGCGGGGTCGAGTTCGTAACTTTCGATACATTTATCTCGAAAGTTTTCGAAAATATCGGCTAATAACAAGACGTCGATTTTCAGATACAAATCGCTATATTCGCCTAGCGTCCGAATGGAGAATCGCGACCAGACGTTCTCGGCGTGCGCGTAATCGCTCTCGGATACAGTTTCGCCAGTCAAAGAACTATAAAATGATTCGCGCGGTGGTAAGCACGTATCTTGCAATCTGTCGACGGAATCGATGTATTCGTACGGAAATACACCTTTTCGCGTTAACAAATTGAAATGTTCTGCAGATAAATTTTGAAATTGTGAATGTAAAATTTTGAGTTTATCTTTCTCTAGATAAGATACCAATTTGTCGAGACTTGCCGTAAGAAATTTATACGAATCGATAAAACTTAATTTTATATAATTTTTCCAATTGTCCTGTGCGACTTTAACAGTTTTTGTAAACGAAATATATTTTTCCTTGGTTATCGGAAGTAATTCGATTTTCCCTTCGAACGCCGTAGCAATATCTTCGATAATAAAAATGTACATCGTAACCTGATAAATTATGAAATACTATCGGAATATATAATGATTCTTTGTAATTTAGATTGCAATTTGAGTGTGCTGGACCTCTATACCGACCGGTCAGATGGCAATGATCGCGTACGCGTGTATCGTCTTCTTGCGTAAACGGTTTTTCGCATATATGACAATACGTTGCGCTGTGAAATTTTTCCCACTCTTCCGATGTTAAATTTACCATAGGGACATTAGTCGTTAAAATATTCTTAACGCGAATCGCTAAATTTTTAAGATCTTCGACGAACCATGCTATACAATCGGCGCTACGACGCGAATGATATGCCGATAAAGATTCGTCGTACGAACAATGCATATAATACGCTATACTAAATACCCGATGATGCTGGTACGCGTTCTTTTCTTTCTCCTCCTCCATCTTGGTCAAAACGCATTCTAAGTCAGCATAGACCACAAATGGAAGCCGCTCTTTCCTGTTGTAGTTGTGGAACTCGAGCCACTTGTCTTTGTCGCTCGGCAATCGGATAGCGCAGTCGTTCATCTCCCCGCAGTCGACCGTATGCGACTGCAACTTGGCGTCCGAACCAAAATAATGCAAGCATCTGTAAAAGAAAGAAAAATTTTAATTAAGATTTAACAATCCATATTGTAATTATATAAATTATAATTATTCAAATAATATAAAATAAACTTACCGGTCGCAGATATATTTGTGATTCTTGTGTTTGCTCAGTTGTGAGCTCACAAGCCTGGATAAATTTTTTATCCAAGCAAAGTGTCCCATGCTGTTGTCATCTTCAATGTACAGCAAGTTAACATGCTTGTCCCGCTTCTGATCCGAAAGACGTATCGGGACAACGTTCTTGTCTTCGATGCCGTACACGTTGATTGAAATGTTATTTGCATGTTCAAATTTCTTAATCTGATTTACAGTCGCTGGAAACTCAATGTCCCGGAGATTCAGCACTGTCGCGTAATGCGGGTATGATGATTCCCGTTCCGCGTTCCTTTCGGCGGGGTATAGGGCGACGACCACTGCCCACGCGAAACACGCATTGTCTTTCGATTGCACGTTTATCACCGCTCTCTTCGTCGCAATCTCTCGCGGTAACTTGATGTGACATCCCGCACACAAAGGATTATATTTGTTTACATTAACAGTCAAATTCTGTATTCGCGACAATGCCCACCCGCTGTCGCGTTCCTGAAACTCTTCCAGAGATGCTAGGATGGACTCGATAACGCGCCGTTCGTACCACTCGCGTAAATCCGATGTGCGAAAGAGTTCACAGTTTCTCGTATTCACACTTTTATTAGCGCGTTTATCTCCGGCCACAAATTCACCATTAAACACAGTGTTCACTTTTACACTGTTGTGTCTTTTTAGAACGTCTTGCACTTGCTCGAGCACGATGTCTTCGGCATCCTCGAGAAATTGACGAGGTTCGATATGGTTTGTATTAATTACAGCACCGGTCAAAATTCGGCTATCAAATGCGGTATCGATCTCTCGCCAAATGAGTCTTTCCGCGTTATTGTCATCGCTGTAATCGCCACCACTGGGAATAAATCGCCTCTGCAATCGAATTTTTGCACTTTCGAGTCGCGCGATTTTGGCTACCAGGGATTGTCTACATCCGATCAAGAGTCTCGGACGCTTGACACGACTGCGTTCTTCGAGCTCTTTGATTATTTCCTCGCAACGCTGCAGCCATGCAAAATACTCGCCCAAGGTGGTAATTTGGTGAGATCGCTCCATCAGATCGCGTTCAGTCCGCTCGATGTTTTCCATTTTCTTCTTATCTTTTTTACACTACGTCACACTTTTCTACGGAGTATTTGCACTTTTTGCACACGATAAATAATATCGTTCGCTTGAACGTGAAATCGCGCAAATATCTTTCTAACAGGACACCACTATACTCTTCTACAACCGGCGTGTCGATGCGCTCAAATCACAGTAACTTGATGCGCTTCAATCATCCCTGTATTTCGTCTAAATCTTTTTATCTTTGCGTAAAATAAATAAGTATGGTGTATCGTAATAATTATTTTTTATTTACATCTCAGAAAAAATTCGTTCTCTCTCACACGCGTGGTAAGAGCACAAAGCAGCCAAACATCGGCGCTGATACGTTGCAATTCTTCCAAGAAAAAATATGGAAAATAATTTTGGGCCGGCCCTAACATACAATCCTCTTCAAATACCGCTCTTTTTTTGTTTATGCTAGTCATAAAACATCCAACACGTCCCCAAACATCCCCCGCGCCTCCGTACTATGATTTGACATGTTTCAATCCTCCTCCTTCTCCTTATATATATTTCATCCAATCCTTTCTCATCTTTTGAATGTGGGAAGGTACAACGCAGAAAGAGCATGAACATCGATAGAAAAAAGAAAAAGAAAAGAAAAGAAAAAAGGTTGTGCCATAAGATGCAATCCTCTTCCAAGGAATACAGCTATATATTGTTTTATGTTAAAAAATATATAAAAGGAAAAGGAGCTGCGCTAGAGTATCATTTTTTCTTTCGTTGCTCTTCTGTGATTTTCTTTCGTTGCTCTTCTGTGTTTTTCTTTTGTTGCTCTTCTGTGTGTAATCTTGTGCAATGGCTGAAGTAATTATTATCGATGATGATGATTACGATATGGATCTGATTGTGGCTGAGAGGATGGAGATAGAGAGAGAGGAGATGAATATTGGTGATCACGAATTAGCAGACGAGGATGGACTTGATGATGAAATGTTACTTGATGTAATAGAACCGTTGACGGATAGTGATTATAATAGTGATGACAGTGAGGATGGTGATGAATTGTGGCAAAGAAAACAACGACAACCTAGAACTACCTGAAATATTAACGTTGAATGAAACGCTAAAAATATGTTGCATATCGTGGTATTATGAAGAAAATGGAGAAAATTCGAAATATTGCACCGAATGCTTCATCCAACGAGCGTTTTTATTTGTAGAGGCTAAATCTGTTAGAGAACATAGAACTACAACTTATTGCAATATAGAGGCTATGT